TGAGCTGGACGGGCAGGGGGAGAGCCAGTTCCCTGCGTGACAGTTACGATTTTTGCAGCTCGGTTTTGACATGAGAACGACCTCTTCTGCTGCGGGAGAACGTGAACCGATACTCGGTGTGACGCACCTGCCTGGCGCCCCGTCATCCTCCTTGCCGCGATGTCAATCCAAGGGGGATCTCAGTGCAGGATGCACCGTGAAAACACGGCCAGCCCTGGGAGAAGCAGCATTTAGAGAATGCCAGCCACACCGCCAAGCAGGGGAAGGGATATCGGTTCAACAGACGGGACACGCAGTGGGAACATCAGCTGTGCCGGAGCCCAGCGAGCCTTGCCAGCTGAAAGATTTTGTGCAGGAGATCCCTACCCCCTGAAATGCGTCATCTGCCACTGCAGCATTTCCGTGGGACTGCTGGGCTGGGCTGGCCTTCCCGGGATGCAAACTGGGATTTGGAAGGGTTCTGTTGGAGAAGCCATTTAATGTTTAAGGCACTGACTGCTTGCTGTCTGGCAGCCTCAGCTCCACATTCATGATGAAGATAGGCACAGGGGGCTACCGTGAGGTGCTGCACCCTGTAGGAAATCTCGTTACTGCTGAGCAGGTGAGGGAGCTTTTCCTCTGGGCAGGGAAGAAAACCGCAACGGAGCTTATTACATCTTCCCTGCAACAGCTGATGCTGGTCGAAGCAGGGCAGAGGTGATCAGCCAGATGGGAATTACCCTGCTGCACGGTGGCAGTTCCTGTACGCCAGCTCCGCTGACTTGGCTCCCAGATGTGGAACCAAACGAGCGCACGTCCTCAGCCTTGCTCTTTCGGCCACGGCTCGAAGCCCTTCAGTGCTGTGACAAAGACGGTGGTCACTGGGGGACTGCAGCACTTCAGCTGGGTTTTGGTCTGTACATTGTTTCTGCCTTCTGAGGAACCCAAAAAAGCCATGGACCAATGAAGCCCTATCTCTCAGAGTATCTCCGAGTTTGAAATCCCAGGAGGCTAACTTGCCTCTTGGGATCAGCCTTTTAAATCAGGTTGGCGGCAGACACCCCTATGATGGCTTGAGAACAAAGACTTCTTCCTTGCAGAGTAAACAACACCCAAACCGAGTTCCTCAAAATATGTGTTCCTCTAAATTTTTAATGCCGTTTTCATCCAACTTGCTCGTCCTGTTTCAGAAGGGCTGGGCCTCATAATTAAAAGCTCCAGCAATCTTATGTCTGGTGAATGTCATCAATGGCTTCACTATGCCGTGCTCTGCTTCTCTGAACAGTGGGAACAGTTTGGAAAGGAGCTCCTGATTAGAAAAACTCTCTGAGGTCAGGTCTCGATTCACTTTGGGTCTTCGTACCAGCTCGGCATGGAGAGAAGCTGTCACAAAATCAGGGTCACCAGCATAAATGACAATTCCCATTCAAAGCCTGGAAATCCCCGAGATGAAGGAGTTGTCTGAAGCTTACAGACTTCTTCATCCTTCTACATTCATCACAGTGTGAAAGGCTGTCAGCAGCAGAAGTACTCCAGTATCTGCTCATTAATCAGAAAAAAGCTGATGGACAATTTTATCTTAAGCTGGAAAACTGAAACAGAGCTGTCCTGCCCTTTTGAGGCTGCTGCCAGCTGACACCCAGCAAGCACTGACAGCCGTGCAGGACTCCGTGACCAGTCTGCAAGCCATCAGGCGGTGCTCCGAAATGAGCTCAAAAATTTATGTTTATTATCATATGTGTATATTTATCCCATTGCTCACTATCAGCAAGCGTTGTCACTCTCTGCCGATTCTTGTTTTTCATCTAGGTGATGGTTAGGGAGCAAAGGATTCACCATGTTTTGTAACATATACATATATATATAAAAAAACCCATACTGTTTTATAAAGCTTGAGGAGGAGGCTGCTTTACTCTGTGTGCGCCAGCAGACTGTCCCAAACTCGTACTGTGCTGTGGGGATAGGCAGAAACATGGCAGCCGTCACCTAATTAACAGCTTCATCAGAACCATTTTTGAGGGCTATTTTCTGCATGCATCAGGCCAGGGGTCCAGTTTTATGGCGCAGCATCACAAATGGTTGTTGGGCCGTAGCTGAGGGGGCGGTGATCTGTGGTGGGGCCAAACACCTCGGGGTAGGGACACCTTCTGCTAGCTTTACTAGTGTCTCCTGAATCTACACCCTGGGTCTCTCCTACCTCCAGTTGTGCTAATATTTTGTATTTATTTTGTCTGTAGTGAGCACCACGAGAAGGAAGGAAGGTAAAGCACAGAGGCTGCAACTTGAAGTTAACATGTGTGACCCCGTCTGCCGTACCACCTACGTTCAGGTAAAAAAAAATTCCACTTCGCAATATTTCCTTTAAAACCTGACAGATGTTCTGTTGTCCAGCCTTTGTATAAGGCAGGTGTAAATACCAGGAAAAAATTGTGCTTTTATTTGTACGCATAGAGAAAGGGGTTTTGCTCGGTATGCATTCATCATTAATGGGGTAGATACAGCTCGGTATGTTTGTCACTCCTTGTAACAAGTATGTGATGAGTACATTCCATTATGCCAAGCAAATCTGGAAGGACAAATAGGTGGGTGTTTGATTCACGCAGATTAAGCACAGAAACATTTGGTCATTCAATTTCCTGGCTACTCCTTAGCACCCAGTTCTGCTGCTTTCACGTTGTCTTCACGGGTGCAGCCTTGCTCCTGCTGATCAACAAAGGGTTGGTTGTGCCACTGACTTAGCAGGATCTGGCCCAAGGGGATTCGTGCCAATGTGTATGTTTTGATTCTGACTGCTGGGCGGTGTAACGTGGACAGACCAGTGGTGTCACCTGGCCTTGGAAGGGGCTCCCCTGGGTATGACCGAGGGATGAAACTGGGCCCTTCCACAGGAACTTCTGCATCTTTTGTTCCTTTCTACCACCGCTGGAAAGAAAACAGCAGCGTGGCTGAGGCGATACAGGGCCCGTACCACTGTATTTTCAGCCCCTGGCTAGTGCAAATTAGCACAGACCTCAGGCGCTTTTTCCCAGTGCAGAATGGCCTACCTATAGCAGCAGCAGCAGCAGGGTCAGAAGAGTCTTGCACACATCCAGTCTCGCCCAAGTCTTCCTTTGCGTAGCTTAGCTGTAGCCTAGGATCTGAACAAGATGCTCTGCACTTCAAACACTTCTTAGATCTAAAACATTATTTATTTGAATAAATAAATACAAAAATAGGAAATTCTGAATATAAAACCTGCTTGTACAAAAACCCCACAAACTCCCCAAGCTTTACATTAATACAGACATATTTTTGATACAGTAAAAAAATCTGAAATTGCACACTGTTCTTCATTTAAAAGACAAGGCTTGAATTTTTGCAGAATCATGGAAATAAACACATTTAACACCAAATAGAAATACACCTGACAACATTCTGTTGGACTTCTAAATAGGACAGAAGAGTGAGTGAATGGTGAATGTTTATGCTCATCTTAAGGCCATCCTATTAAACAAACATACCCTCACACTACTGCCTTTGGCCTCTGCGTCAGTAAGAACCAGCTGCCCAAATCCTGTAGCTCGGCTCTCCGGGTGTGCGCAAAACTCAGTTCAAGTCTCTCCCGCTGGGATAAATCAGGTACTGCCCTACTAACGTCAGGGAAATTACCACTGGGGTCTGAAAACACAAATGAGAGCAGAAGAGAAACTGTGCCCTCAAACACAAAAGTGTATGTGGTAAGGCAGAAATGAGTCCGTGCTATATTGGCCTGATTCATTTCTGTGTCACTTTGGTTGTACGTCGCTGCTATGCCATGAAAACTCACATCATCTCAACAGCATGTAGTAGCTGATGCACTGGCTACTATTCTGTGTTGGGAATGAATATTTAGCATTGATCCCTGATGAATACAGAGCATTAAGTGTTTTTGCTGAATCATCTCTTGCCTTTGCCCATAAACAAGCTAACTGATGAGATAGTGTAACACAGCTGCTAGACAGGATATTTTACCTAGCATTCAGGGAGATCTCTGCCCCTCAAAAATTTGTACGTTAAACAGAGGAAAGTTTTACAGCATTTTTATATGCAAAAGAATTAAATATTTGAAATATAAACCCACTCTTTTATAGAAGAAATGTGTTGAAAACACGTTGAAAACTGCTAGGGTTTAGCTGACAAAAGCAGCAATGGCTATGACCTGTAGTACTGACTCAAGCCCGTATGTAAAGAGAAGAACAGCATTTATAATGACGTCTGCTTTCAGCACGTAAGTTTGCCACACCAGGAAATATACAGACAGAATCACACTTCCGACCGTGATCACAAGACTGAGCCCTAATGGAGCCTCTTCTTCTGTCAGGTTACCCTTTGAACCTCGAAGGAAACAAAAAGCTGACATGAGTCTTTGATTTCTTCTGACAATATCACAAGCCACAAGTATTCCTGTTCAGGAAAGGCTCTAGTTCTCAAAGCTCAGAGTACATTGAAATATTGGCCTGAATCAAGGCTCTGACAGTAAATGTAAGAACAAACCCAAACACCAATGGATGACCCATTTCTTGCTGACTGGAGTTAATCTAAATAAAGAGCCATCAGCTGATGCTCAAAGTCACGACACCTACCTTTTCTTCCTAGAGATAATCAGTTCTGAAGCTGCAACCATTCTGATCACTCAGCCTGACCCTCTTCTTAGTCAACCATCAAACTTTCCCCAAGTCCCCGCCCAGCCCCGCACTTAGCATGACAACTCGGTGACTGCGATGCACATCTAAGGGCATCCAATGCTGATTTTAAAATCTTACGCAATACAGAATCTTCTATATTCCCTGCTAATCTATTCCTATTTCAAATTACTATCATTGTGGAGAAGCTGCACTTATCTCTTCCTTGCATCTTACTTCCAAGCTAGTCTCAGTAGATTTTGCTGTTTAACCACATTAGACTTGAAACTCACTTCTTTATTCATCCACCAGGCTCCAAGCAAACATATGCAGAGAGCTTTAAGGCAGCAGGCTAAATTCATCCCTACAGCAAGTCAGCTGAATTCAACAGACACCCACCTTGCATAAATGTCTTAGGAATATCAAGCACAGATTTTAATAATAACTTGTTTTTTTAAAAAAAGGACTTTATGAAGTTTTAGCAAGCTCTGGACAGGGGCCAGGAGGCCCTTTACGCTGTTCTCACTTAGTGAAATGAAGATTCAGCAGGAGTGAAAGGAAAAGGTGTAGTTGCGGTGGCAGCCGTACGCTGCTCAGGGACGTCCTTAGCATTACCTGTTCCACAAGGCTCCGGCCATTTGGTTACTCGTGTATGTTGCTGGAGCAGTTGAAAGGAGCCGTATCACCTCAGTGAATGGAAATCTCTGTGTTTCAGCATGTTCATTCTCACAAGTCATGCTCAATTATAAACAGCGTAACAGCATTCTAGCTGTCTCAGTTATACTGCTTTCTGACAACCTAGCTATTGTTTTTTAATGGCATTATAGATTATATTTCATATGAGAGCAAATTCTGTTTGACCCTCTGGCCAAATATATTGATCAGTCAGATAAAGTTTAATGACGTAAATGAACAACAGTCTCCAAATATCTGCTAGTCTGCTGAACTGGCATGTTTTGACACACACTCGATTTCAGAATGATTACTGTTTAAAGATTATGCTACTGAAAAGGCACAGTGATAACATGACATACCCAAGTATAATCGGAGCACTTCAAGAATGGCCATAATGAAAAGCAAGGTGAGATCAGGAGCCAAAAAATCATCTGGATAACTGAAAACTTGACCTGTAGAATAACACAGTGTAAATAAGCCAGGAAAATACAGTAGGCATACTGACAAACCATAACGGTGTCATGAGCACACAGCCTAATTCTGTGTTAGAATACGTGCAACTTACTTTTATAAACAATCATTGCAAGAGTTGCCAAGAAGTAAAAGATGTAATAAATGCCATTTACGTAAAATAGAATCTGTAAAGGAACAGATGACAGCTGATAACTGTTGTTAAGGATTTCTCGTAGCAATGAGGTGGGATCCATTTCATAAAATCCCCATTTCCCAGTAACCTCAAAATATACTGCTGTGCCTTTTTATACTAAATGGTTCAACTATGACTGGCTTACTGGGTAGGGTTCAGAAAGTAACTTGAGATTGCAAATACCAAGAGTTAGGATAAAAGCTTGCTGTTTCAGCTTTGGCTTTAGTTCCTTTTTTAAAAATTATTATACCAAATAATTTTTGGTAAACATACCAGTAGTGGGGTATTCGTTAGCCTAAGGAAATGAGGGGTGTGTGTGCATGTGTACATTTCTTCAAACAACTTCTATACCTGTTAGTCAGCCTTATGCAAGTTGACAGAGGGTTGGCAGACTCCAATACATCAAATTCCTGTAAGTTTTTGAAAATAGGTGGCTCTGTGAAGCAGACAGGCCCTATTACTGCCCACATGATGGAAAGTCTGAAAGCTGTGCTCTGTCTTTGTTACGTGCCTGAGAAAGGCCACGAGCTCAACTTTGAGATGTAAATTCTGAAGAGACACACTTCCTTAATTCACTGCTCACAAAACTAACTGTTTTATACTGTGAGATAATATTTAGCTCTAGTTATTTGTCTGCTATGTGGATCCACTGCCAAGGTATTGGAGAGCTTCACAATCCTCAATGCATCCCCAAAACGCCCCTGAAGTTTATATATAGCACAGAGTCATACAAATAGGGAGAAATTACTTGCAGGCTCAGGACAGATTCATGTCACCTGTAGCCATCCCAAGAACACAGCCATCCTAAAGTTACACATCGAGTCTGAATTAGTCGTCCGTGCTCTCCCTTGAATCAGCGGAGATGGGAACCTTCCTAGCCAAGCAGCTCCCGAGCAGGGTGGGATGAACTACTGTCTGGTGTTAAACCCTGCCAGCTCCCCCTCTGACTGCAACAGGAGTTGAAATGTCTAGTTTATAGGAGGTACCTAACAGTCGGAGGTCTTCAAGAGCCCACCCACCCCCACGGACAGGTACGATCCCTATATAGCAGGTACATACTGAAGGAGTAATTTTCTCTTGAGGGACAGCAGCATGTTATTAATGCAATATAGGAGACACACGTAGGACGTCCTGGGGCTCACCACCACGTGGAGAAGTTGTAATGTGCCTCCAAGAATCCAGAAAGTTTGGCCATTCATATGTATTTTTGATAACCAAATTATACGAAATGCCTTTCTTAGCCTTAAATACAATGTAGTTTATATAAGGAAGTTATCAGTGCAGATTTCATTATTTCCACATCTGTCTTTCTATACTCAAAGTATTCTTTATCCTCCCCTCTCTCCCCCAGCCCTTCTCAAATCCTCTGAGTATCTCCAAGCAGGGACTTCATCCCAGGCACCTTTTGCAGGAACTGCCCATCCAGTTTCCGAATGGAGCACCCACCCACATGCGGTGGATGTATTCCAGTTCCCAGAGAAGCTCATTTTATTAAAACAGAACCAGGTTTTTGTGTTTTTCCAGTTGAAGGAAGGTGGAGCAAAAAATTACTAGATGGGTTCTAAGCATGGAAATCTCTGAAGCCAAGGGTGTCTCCTCTTAGGAGGTTACTTAGATCTTGGCAGGAGTAAAGGTAGGGTGAATTAACATGAGAGAAGAGGAAGTACTACTGGAAGCTGCTTTTACTACCTTGTCGGCTGTGTCAGCTGGCTGTGAGTGTGCTGCATGGCGTTTGTGTCCCATCAGTCCACACATCCCATTTTTAGCCGTGCTTCCTAAGGAAATGAGAGTTATGTGATCATAAAACGAGGCTGCCAGCCCTCTGCCAAGACTGCAGGGGTTTCTGTGTGAGTGGGAGCTGATCAGGGCAAAATCTCAGCAAAATCCCAGCTAATGCTGTGAAAAACATCTTCCTTGGAAGAAATGTTTTACCGGTTTTGCTTCCTATGGATGGTGCTCATGATGGAAAACTCAAAGAATTACACAAAAATAGCATTGTGCAGATTTATTAGGCAGAAAGATGTGAATGCATTTCAGTCTTCCTGAAGATTCCTGCATGTGAGGGACGAAAGGTACAAAAAGGATACAACTGATGAAGTTCTTCCTTTCCGTAGAGAAGGGAAAAATAAAGAGAAGAAAATAAGTCTAAATATTTACTGAAAGTGCTGCAGAAACATTCAAACAACTGATGTAACTAGAGAGGTCAAGCATGCTTGCAGAATTTTTTTTTTTTTCAGTTCAGTGGAAGACTTACTATCTTCTCAGATCATGCAGTTCAGGTTCCAAAAATAACTTTTTCAAATACATGAATTCTAAAATAATTTGGGGGAAATCCCTGTTGTGAAAAGTCACTTTCACCGAGGAACCCCTCTCTTTCAAAACATAAAGAAGTACACAGGCATTACCTAGAACTTGTTTATCCTGTCCTTTCAGAGCAGATGACACTTCATCCCCTCTAACTATGCAGGAAGAAGGGAAACATGCAAGGGAACCAGAATGTACCACTTGTTTTTAAATTGTGAGAAGGCATTCATGTAGAACACAGGGCTCCCCGGTTCCTCTAACTAACATTCTTCCAAACCGGTTCCCTTCAAAAGCAAAGTCATTCTATGTAAATCCTTAATATGTTCTGATCACCCACAGAAATCATACCAAATATTTTCTATAAGCTAACCAGTACTTTTTTTTTTCTGCAAAACCACAGATAAAATCCCCTTGCAACATGATGGTACTGACCTACTAAAGTACCTTTTAAGTAACGCATTAATATCCTTAGCCTCTTTCAGACACATGAGGAATTGAAGTTAAGATCTCTGTTTCACAGAGAGTAAAACTGCCTGAGAAAGGCCATTTCATCCATCTTCTCAGAGACAACTCATTATCAGTGGGACATACGCACCTCACCATCTTCATCCCTGGGCTTCTTGAGGTTAATGTCCTCATCACCTAATAGTTTTATGCAGTTGGGCCCAAATTAATCCCCACTAACTTTAGGCACCTAATTAAGGTATCCGATTTGGGAACGCAGTGGAAATAGGCAAGCAATTTTAGAAGGTGATTCTGTCTATGATCTGAAATGCCTCCTGGACATGCTTCATCTCCTCTCCACTTTCTGTAAAGGGACTATAAGCTCCTAACAGAGTCGTCCCTTCACTTAGCCAAAATGCGTTTTGATGAATGCTTTATTTCTTTTTGCAGAATTAAAGGTTTCATTACACACCTTGTTCTGCAGTGACTAATAGTTAAACATGTGTTTGTGTTTATACCCCGGTATAAACCCTCATGCGAAAGTAATGCCTTGTGTCAAGATGATGTGCTTCCTTTCTTGCAGAGCAACAAGGAGATGTCTCCATTTTAAGGTTACTTTAGATGGTGAAGTAGGATGGATGTTAATTTGAAATACCACAACTGCATGTGCAGACATGTTATTATTCCACAAGAAGTGTCTGGATATGGAACTTTTTCTGTATAACCAAACACTAAGCTATACCGGCGCAGCCTCATCCATGCTGGGCAGCTATGCTGCTGTGATGCCAGTGGTATAATTAGTGGTACGATTTTACCGTACAGGCAACCCCTACTGAATTCCCTAATGGCAGTTCCCCAACTTTATTTTTAAACTTTTATTTTTTAAAATCATTTTCCACAAGAGGGCACTGAACACGTTCCTGCATCTCCTCCAGGGAAGGGTTTGATAGCCACTATTATTTAGAACATGCTGCCTCCCCCTGAGCAACAGGGGACATTTCACATGGGTTAAACATTTAAACCCCACAACACACCTGTGAAAGAGGTACTGCAGTTAAGTAGTAATTATTATACCAGTTCAATATATAATTTCAGGTGTAACAGCAGGCTGCTAATCCCAACACCCTGAGATTGTCTCACTGCTAGGATTAATGAAGTCTGCATTGCTGCTGCGGGGTTTTAAATTGAAAGTGAGCATTCTGGCACAGGAAAAAAAAAAGCACACAATTTTAAAGCATTTATATGAAGCACACAACTCGCAGCAGCAAGAACAGCATTCTGCTGAGGGAGCATTTGCATTCGTGAGACCTGACGCAGTGACTTTCCACGTTGGCACCCAATTTCTGCAGATTGGAAAGCTTGTATGGTCCAGAAGAAAACAAAGCATAACACCACTTGTTTCCAGTTGTATAAATTCTTTATACACTGGTGACTCCCAGGCAGCAACGTATTCGCACTTGGGATAAGCATGGTTTGTGAGTGTGCATGCTTACTTGAGGGAGAACATGGCCCATTTTCTAAAAAACTGGTTTAATTTTTTTTTAATGCCAAAACTATACTAAAAGCATGCAGCAGTTATACTTAACATTACCCAGTGCACCTCATTACACGAACTTGTTTTTAGGACTTTGGCAAACGCTAATTCTTCATGCCAAAGTTTTCAAAACCAGCTTGTGTACCTAGGGCTGAAATTTACATTTTGGGGGGAAACCTTTGACCTCTTTGAAAGAAGTGGTAATTAATCATTTTGACCACACTGACGAAGAACTTTTTTTTTCTCCTCTGAATCCCAGTGGTTCATAATTTGAAGAAAAGACTTGAATTTTCAAGGGGCGTCACTCGGCCTCAGGAAAGCGATTTGCCTGTGGACAAAGGTGCTCCTCAGCCCGCACAAGCGCCAAGCCCCTCCTCACACTAACACAGGGCCCGCAGCTGCCGGGATTTACCTCAGCGTGTCGGGACTGTCGCGATATGGCTATCGGGCTGGGCTCGGCGCCGAGGCCTAGCTCGACCTCGGCCCCGGCCTCGCTCTCGTCGTGTCCCCCCGCCCGGGGCGGCGAGAGGTACCCTCTAACACGACGGGAAACAGGCCCCCC